AATTTGCTCATGGAGTAATTATCTTGAAGACAGGAGTAGACAAGGAAATTTTTTCCCCAGAACAAATTTAGAGAGACATTAATATCTTGTAAGACAACGTCCCAGATGATTCACTGATAACCTGTTACAAGCATTTACAGAATGGAGTTTGCGTACCTCCACCATAGCTAACAAACTACATCATGACAGAGGCAAAGAAAAACAATAGAAAGTATTTATTGACATAGTCCGTGCATCGTGTAATATCTTCATATAGCAAAGGTTTGCATTTATTTTCCCAAATGAGTTGTCATTTTGTGCAGTTAAAAATATTATAAAAACACATGTTTTGTAGTTAGCTGTCAGTCTTTAAAAAGTTAAGAACATTAAAGAATCATTAAAGCTACCTCTGAAGGTTTTTAACCTAAATGCTATCTCACACTCAGAGCAAAAGGCTGGACCAACAGGGACTCAAATATACCTCCAAATCCTTTGATATTAGTGTGCAATTTTAAGCTTTCAATTTAACAATATTCTTTATTTTTTTCCCATTCATTCTTTAATCCAGGAATTTGTAGATGGAAGTATCTGCAATATTCTGTGCTTTAAAATTAGAAGCAGTTATTAAATTTCTACAAAGATACTAAACACAAATGGAAGGTATTTGAAAAAATTTATTGCCTAGAATTTGTAGGTACATGCAAAAAAATGGAGCCAACATTTAAATGCTTCAAGTCTGAGGGTTTTTGTTTCCTGCTTTTTGTTGTTGGTGGTGTTTTTTTTTTTCCAATGGGGAACAGCCTTTACAGGAATCCCATCAAAATGTCAGGTTTGAGAAACTTTCAAGTGAAAGAAACTCCCTTTACTCCCTACACTCTTAGTGGCCCGGTGTGCGGGGAGGTTCATGCTGCCAAGCCTTTTGGCCAGGACACGGATCCGTTGCTTCCCAAGGACCCTAAACGAGCATAAGCGTAATCCCTGCGACTCCGACTCCGGGCAGGGAGTGTAGATCAAGGTCAACTCCCCCTGCCTGCTAGTGGTCCTGCCAGAACTGAGCCCTCCCACAGCCCTTTCCTTGGTGCTGTTGGCCAGGAAGAACAGCCTCGTCTTTAACAGTGAAAGGAGATTGTTCAGGTAACTTCTGATTTTTACATCTTAATTTATACTGTTACAGCTTTACCAGCTGCCTACTCTTTCTTACAATAGGTCCCTCTGCTAACTCGCAGCCATTTAATCTGTTACTCTTCACACTTTCTTTATCCCTTGCATACCACCTCCATCTTCCTGGTCTTCCGTACCATCTACTTGCTCGCTCTTTCTGTATTAATTGCTGTTTGCTGCCAGGTCATCTCTTATCTGCAGAATAGAAGGAAGTTGCCAGCTGCTTCTTTCCCCCACATATAGATGAATTATTTTTTCACTTAAGCCACATTCTGTGCCGATTCATACTCCATGCAGACTCACAAATCTGCAAAATTTGGATGGTAAATTATAAACTGAGTCAAGGAGTTTCTTTAAGCAATTTTTAAAGCATCGAGTACTCTAGTCCTCATATAACAGAAATAAATTTGCTACCTAACATTGTGTTTTTCTTTTGTTAAGATAATACAAACTTAATTTTTCACATTGCAGATAATCCCCTTGACTTCCATCATATGTCTCAGAGCCCCAAATTAAACGTATGCACAAATTAAATGCATGCACAAATGTCCTGCAGAAGCTGGTCTGGGTATGTTAATGGTTTGTCTATGAGGTTTATCTTTGGCCCAGGAAGAACTTATTTGTTAATTTTACAAATTGCTAGTAGCACCCTAGCAGAAAAGGGATTTGACTGAGTTTGTTTTTTCCTAATGCCGGGAATACAGTTAAAGAAAAAGATCTACTACAGCAACTGCTATGGAAAAGCATTAGTACTGATGAAAACAAATGATGTACAGCCTGGTACTTGAAAGAGAGAAATATCCTTTGGGGAAACTTCACAAGGGCTCTGTCCCCTTCCGGGCTGGGAACCCAGCCTTGATGCTGGTGTCCTAGACACCAGCAGGTCTGATCTACTGACAACACCCCCTCCTCGTATTTTCTCATTGATAACTAGATACAAACTGCAGCTTTTAAAGGAAATTTGAGATGATCGCAGCTCAGAAATTCTTGTCCCATTCGCAGTGGCTGATACCAAGAGCTCTACACGGGACATTGACCTCCAGGGGTTGTGTGTAAGTAAAAGTCCTTGATTTATGAACTACTTCAGAAGTCCCTGCAGTAAGCAGTCACAGTGCCTACATAAAGCATTTCCTTCTCCTTTAGGCCAAGTGGCAGACTGAAATGTTGCCTGGCATGCAAATACAACAGGAGTAACATTTTGTCTGTGTCTTCTTTTGCCTGCGTTCCCTCGCCTGAAGGCGCTGACCCAGTCAACATGGCACATACTCTACAAGCCCCTATATTTGCATGTGTTTGTGCAGGTGCACTCAGACACAGAGGCTTGAATAGATATATATAGTTTTCATTAATTTTTATGTTGCTCTAGCCAGCTTCTTTAATCTCTTAGTACCATAAAATGAGGCACTGAGCATCTAATATTTATCCTCTGAGGATAAACATTTGTTATCAGCCTGGTATGAGAACTTCAGGTCGTGGCTGAGGTATTTATAGTGGATGCTGATATAACAAGACCATTTGAAAGCTGACATCAACATTTTTCATTCTTACCTTGTCCCCAATTCCCAAACTAATACAGAAATAGATTATATTTCTCCTCTGAAGGAGCACACCTAAATAAGACTTACCAAAACAAGGAATTTACTAAGCCACCTTATCTTGATCAGTTTTGGACCCAAATCAACAATGAGAATAATTGTAACAAAATCCATGCACGTAGGTTGACTTGTATTGGATTAATGATGTGGTACCTTATTTGTCACAGTAACTATGGAAAAAGGCACTTTTAAGAAAAACATTACAGAGCTGACTAAAGAATATTGTAGACCTGTTGCATAGAGCGAGAGTATTAAATACTGGAGTGAGGTGATTGATTGAAAATTATTGTGAGCGAAGCCATACATCTTAAAAGAGATGTTAACAACAATACAAAATAATTAACCTTAATATCTTAGACATTAATTTCTAAACTTTAAATTTATTATTAGTTTTCTGGAAACAATCACCACAAAAAAAAAAAAAAAGAAAGAAAGAAAGAAAAGTTAAGTGTTCCCTGGAAAGCTGATGTTAAACAAAATAGTTTATTTTAAAGTGAGATCTCTTTCAATTAATGAAATAGTTATGGTATAGAAACAAGTCTTAAATTTTTATACTTTGGCAATAATATGACAAAGTTGCCTGCACATTCAAAGTGTCAGGTTTTATACTTTCAATCATCTATAAAAAAGTGGATTATTAAAAATGATCTTATTTCATCAAAAGCTATTACAAGCATATTTTAAAGATACCAATAAACAAATAGTATTTTAAAATCTTGTTATATTTTTTTCTTCTCCACAGGAAGAAAATGTGTTTTGGTCAGCATAAACTTATGATCAAAAAAATTAAATATTGTTGTGGTGAATAATCTTAAAAGTATTGAAACCCAAAGGATTATGATCAGAAATAGACAGATTCATTTTATGTTATTAGATTAACGTAGCACCATAACAATCCTGTGCGCTTCAAAATCTTGATATAAAATAAAAGATATAGACTTGTGTAGCGATCAACAACAATTTTTTAAAAAGTGATTTGTGTTTAAAGGTGTGTAAAAGTCAAGGTCACTTTGTGTTTCATTAAATACATGGTTCAGCAAACATACTGCACCAAATTATTTGCTAACTACTGCTGCTGCCTAACAAGATATCTGTTATAACGTACATGATAGTTCTTCTACCATTCAGAAGGTGGCATAATTTAGTTGGGAGAAATGTTTCGTTTAACCTTGTAACTCATGTTGAGGTGGAATCTGGGTATGACATGATTAAAACTACCCATTTTGCAAAACCATATAAAGCCAAACTACAATATTGCTTTCCAACTCCCAGTCTAATACATACTATCCTATCTATGAAGCTGAACTCGTATAAAAGTAATTTTTAAAACTGCAAAAATGGTTAGCACCCAAAAAAATCTATCATCTGTGAAGCTCTAAATGATTGTCAAATAGCCACTTCAGAAATCAGTGACTTCTCCCAATGGTAAAGATAAACATTTGACTAGAAACTAAACCTACAGCTCTCCAAAAACTAACTGGAATGCAAATGCATGTGTTTAAGACTTCTCTAGCTTCTCAAAGAAGATTTAAAGGCATTAAATTATGTCACGATGTTTCTTCTTCTTCCAAACGTGGAAACTTCTATGTCCATTAATTTCTTTTTGCTGTTTTTACTGAGCAATGAGGTGAAACTTGTCTTTGAGGTCTAACCCTCAGTTACAGAAATTTGGGATTTCCATGGAAGTGTTCCTGCAGCAACCAGAGGAGGAAGTTTTCCAAACTAACAAGCATGAACTAGACTGCTGCTTCTCAACATGGAGCTGTCGTCTTTAGAGAATGCCAAAATAATGTCTTGGTCTCATGCAGTTCTCTGGATCATTCTGCATATACCTCCATGTGCTGTATGCACGACTTGCATTTGAAGAATTGGACCAGAACCCTGAGAAAAGCAAATCCATTGGAAAAATAGATATTGTTTAATAGATATTGTTTGAGATGTGTCAATCCTTCCCTTGGGAAAAAAATGACAAACAGATGTAGTCATTTTTTTCTGATGTGAATGATTCAAATTTATCACAATTGCAAACATAAATATAGTTTGGGATTTTAAGTGCATATCTAGGATTGATTACAATTAAAAATATTTTGTTTGACAACTCTACCCATCCCCCAGCAATTCAGCGTTCCTCACGTCACCGTAACATTACTTGTGAGCTTTGAGTTCAAAAAATCCCGCCATGGAGTGATGTTCTTCCAGTAAGTGCTGCATTAGACTTTTGCTCTATGGTAATACGGGTGCTAAGCGAGTCAGGTTCAGCTCTCTTCAGCCTTGTGCGCAATTCTCATCATTCCCATGTATCCAGAAGCAAATCTGGGCATATTTGAGAGGAGTAATTCTTACTGCTACATTGTAATCCTGCTGTTCACCATTGACATCCACCCACTGATGGCCTGAGTAAACAGCGATGATCTTGCGTTTCCACTTCTTTTTGTTCGGCTCCTTAAGACGGAGATACACGCCAGATCCAGTGGAGCCAGGCTCAGCATCACAGTACTGATAAAAGAGATCATTGGACTCATCAGAAATGCTACAAAATCTATAGACCAGCTGCCCAGATCGATCATTGTCAAAACCTGAGAAGTGGATCATGCTCCCAGGCATCATTTTGATTGTTGGGCTGATTCCCAGCTCCATGTATTTCCTTTTGTGGGGACGCTTGAGCTCAAGAACAGCATAATCATAATCCAGGGCAATATCCCCAGAGACACCCTTAAACCAGCCTTTCGGGATGTGAGTACTCTTCACCCTGGTCCACTGGAAGGAGGGCATGCCATCTGAGGTCCCCTGCTTCCTCCCAGATCTCCTTTGCTTTCGCCCGCCACCTTTGGATTGTCGCCTTTGTGTGCCGATTGTGGCAACTTCGGGATCCTCTTGGGCCGCAGAAACTTCTCTCCTACTTCTTTCAGCACCTTTGCGTTTCCTGCCATCACCTCTGGATTTCGTCTTCATCAGGCCCACCCTCAGTCTTTTGCTGCCCTTGACATAATCCTTGCCGTTGTGCAGACAATGGGCAGCTGTTAGCACATGCTTGGGGGAAATGAGAATGCCGCTACAGCCAGTGGAGATCTTCACAGCTGTGTTGAATGGAAAGTTGGTCATAAACCGCTTGTCATAGATGCTGAACCTACTGTCCGTTCCATATATCTGCCTCTTCTTTCTCGAAGACCTTCGTGTGGTTGTGTTTCCAGCTGGGTCAAGCACTAGTCCGAGGACATTCACTTCAGTCAGGGTCCGTGTGCCGTTTTCAAAAATGGTCTCATAGGATAAGAGGTCCTTCAAGTCAGACAAGCTTGGCACCGGCAATTTTCTTTGACATTCAATTCCACATACACTGTTCAGCTCTAATTTGGTTTTTGCTTCAAATTTAGGGCTGTCAAGGGACAAAGTTCTTTTGCTCACAATCTGAGGAATCTTCTTTAAGTGCCAAGTAAAATCTTGTTCAGTTTCTGTTCCATTAGTGAGACCCAATATAGGTATGAAAAATATGAATAGCAGTAACATGCGCTCCATTTTATCTATTTTTTTCTAAAACAAGAAAGAGAGATTTGAAAATGCACGTTGGAAATATACACAGTTATCTTAGTATCTTCAAAGTATAATCATGCAATATTAGCATTGAAATCAGTGGAACAGAATTTAATACTCTGCTCAAAATAGAAATGCCTCAGATATTCCCTGTATTGCCTCTGATGCTTCCAATGGTCTCTAGCAAGATGGGTGCAAACAAGATAGCCAGTATCCATGCTGAGCTACCTACTGGAAGGGGGAAACAGCTGAGTTTTACCTGCTTTTCCCTCCATAGGGCAGTAGTCTGAGTCATTCCACTCTATACAGTGCCCTGGTTTTATTTATCCTGTAGGAATGCAATTATGTTTTAAGCTTAGGAATGCAATTGTTTTACGCTTCTGCTTCTCTTCTCTATAGCTACTGCTTGTAGGTAGAACATGGTTGAAAATCACCAACGTATTCAAAAGTTGCATTCAAAAGTTGGGATCCAGGCACAGATGGACAGACAGACCACACTCATGAGACTTAGGGACCCTTAGGAAAGCAGACAAATTGTGCTTTTTCATGTACTGGCCAAAAAGTAGCAGCTTTAAGTGATCTACAAGCCACCAATGGTTCTGCATTACCCACCCAGGTAAGACCTGTGAACCTGCCTGCTGTGGAAAATGGCACTTTGCTAATTGCTCTCCCAAGGAACCAACTTAAATCTCTTTTCCCCTTTAAAAGTTCATGTTGTCTGGATGTGACAGATGGAGAAATGTGGGCACCTAAACAAGGTGGCAAGTCTCATTTTAAATGCTTTCAGCTTCTGCTGCTCTGAAAGGCATGGGTCTCCTGCAGATCCTGAGTTGTATCTCCCTGTGTGCCATGGCCACCAAAACCTCATTCATTTCCTATGCGTGGGTGTCTGAATCTCTCTCAGAATGTCAAAGAATTTCAAAATGCATGGTTGCAGGGCACAGATGAGTGAGGAAAGTAGAAGGTTGCTGGTCTAGAGGAGTGTGCTGGTTATATACATGCAGGAAAGCCCAGCCAAGTAGGAGGGACAAGTCTGCTGACTCATCACATGTTTTTTTCCTGCAGGATCCCACAAAGGCTGCAGGAACTGTGCTGTCCGTGCCTTATGGTCACATGTGGAAAGCCCCACCTAGATGGGGCAATGCATCACACAAAGAGCTAATACTTTAAATGGGAAAGACAAAAAGCAGTTTTATTCCCATCTGCAGTTGGGAAACACACAGAAAGAACGTAAAATTGTTAGAAGTCTGTGGCAGAGCCAGAAACTGAACCCAGAAGTCTTGATTCTGAGCTCAAAACATTACTGAAAAGACCTTTTTTCTCCTTTGGCAGCAGTGATGTCAGTGGCATTAACCAACTACTGGTCACTGCCATTGGGAAAGCTGCGCTCTGTTCTCATATCCTTCATTCCAATTACATGGAAACCTCAGCTGTGTAGAAAGAAAGGGCCTATGATTAAACTTTAAAAGCCAAGCAATTCAAGGATATGTATGTGGTTAAGCTCTCTGGTTTACATTGTAATGGCTTTCCTTTTCTTGGGCTTAGTTTAAAATAATACAAGTGCAGTGAAACAGTACTGGTTACAAGCTAGCTAAAGATCTAGCATGAAAAAAGAGGAATATGTGTGCAACATGGAAAAAAGAAGTGGTAACATCACTTCAAAAGCTGTATAATGGACCGACAACTCCTACAATTTTGAGGCATCTTCACAATATAGGCAGTTCTTGTCTGTAAGAGGTAACAATTATCACTTTTTAGCTAACTAAGCACTACGGTTCAAACACAGCTTGTTGCTTCTGATGCCAAATTCCAAGGCTGGTTTTGTTTTAGCATATTTTTTGACGCTTTTCACCTTCCCCTGCATGGAACACAACTTTGACCTGGAGTTTACTTACTAGGATATACATAAAACACATTTTACAATACAGTATAAAGATACCCACCCTGGCTTTAAAGTAGCTAACTAACTCAGGTGTTGCAGAAGATGTCTGGGCTTTCATAAGACATTTGGAGATTACAGTGACTCACAGACCTAAGCTCTGGGGTGTATGTGGTCATACTAAAAGATATCTGAAGGTTTTGAAAGCAGAGCAGAGTCATCCCAGGTACGAGATTTTGCAGACATCGGTTGTCCATACCAGTCCAGGTTATTGGTATAGCAGAAATGCACATATTTAAACATTAATTGTTATATACAAAGTTATCTTCAAAGTATTGTTTTGGTTATTGCTCAATTAGTACTAAATTTGAAGAGGAATTATAATTTTACTTATCTATTGATAAATGATAACGTATCAAAATACAGAAATACTATGATGACAACAGAAGAATAGCTTTCCTGGCCTGACCAAAGGTCCATCTCGCCTAAAATCCCATTTCTGACACTGGCCAAATGTGGATGCCTAGGGTAGAGCACAAGAATAGGACAACCATGTATATCCCTCCTCCCTCATAGTCTCTTAACTTACAACCAGTTGCACCTCATGGACTTTAAACCAGAGGTAGTTTCTGTAGTGTGAGGAAACCTAAGTGGATTTCTCTTCCATAGTGACCCAGTCTTCCCTTGAACCCATATAAAATTTTGTATCCACAATGTTCTGCGTCAAGGAGTTCTACAACTTAACTACATGTTGTATGAGGAAGTATGTCCTTTTCTTTATTTTCAGCCTGTCACAAACTAGTATGGTTTGATGATAAATGTTGTGATATTAATGCGGAAAAGCTGGTTTAAATTTGCTTTGCTCTAATGAACAGATACAAGGTATTAAGAAACGCTGTTCTTCTGTCAGGCTTGAGAATGCCTTTTCTATGTTTTTTGCTAGAATACTCCTCCCTTCCTCAGCCCTTCCTTGGGGTCTGGGTGTTTGATATTTGTCTGTAGATGAATTTTGTGAGCCCTAAGGAAAGTTCATTCACTAACTGCTAGGTCATACAGAAAGTCTTAGAGGTGTCTCGGTTGATGTCATTCCACTGCGATGGATGAAATCTTCCCAGCTGGACCCATAACTAACTCCACTTTATAGAGAGACTTTCTGCAAGCAAATGGGTGGAGTACTATTGCTCCTTCTGACACTCTTTAAAAAAGAAAAAACCCAAACACACAACCCTCAATAGATGCATTGGAGCCTCCTATTTGAAATACTATACTCAAGTCTTCACTACTTACAAAGGCAGTCTTGGGAACCAAGATTTTCATCATTTATAATGAACTACTTGTTGCTCATAATGAACTAACTACACTTCAGTAGAACTGGAAGAAGTCCAAGCTGAGGAACTTGATGAAAATAGTAATTCTCATTACAGACCAGAGCAGTGGTCCTACTAGGTAGCATCGTCATTTACAGCCATGCACTTAAGCTCTGTTTATCAACCCGGTCTCTACCATTTAAGCAAGGCCAACTTCAAGCAATGGGCAACGTCAGCAGTTGCCATGGCTCAGTACAGGTTGCCGGCAAGGGGCAACACAGGGGTTTCTCTTGCCAGACGATGGGGATGGAAGTGTGTAGACGGCTGCAAAGACACCTTTGCAGGGTGAGAGAAGGTAAGAGAGAATACAGCCTCCAGAGGAAGGAGGAAAGGCCCTGAGAAAGCTACAAGCTGGATGCAAGAAAAAACACTCAACATCTTACTCACACTTTTTGCCACGCTGTTCTTCACTCTTCCTCCAAACCCCAAGCTGGTCTGCCCTCTCCTTTCCTTAGCTCCTTTCCCATACAAATTTCGGGTTGGCTTACAGTAATTAGAAGCCTTGATTCAGCTCTGTCTTTATGGCAGGATGAATTGCTTCAGAGAAGGCAGAAGATGGAAACTAGAAAGTGAGAGAGATCCCCAGCTCCATGAAAATGTTGAAATTCTTCCTCCAGTTTCGAAATCCAGCTGATAACGGTGAGGACCATATGTATGCAATCAAAAGTATTTCCAGTTGTTCTTACTTCTTGCTTCCAATATAAAATCTTTCTGCATTCACAGTACAAAACCTACCCATCTCCTAACTTTTCAGGATATCTTTCAAATATTTTGTCAGTATAACCTATCTTACGCCCGTAGAAGGCATCTTGAATGCTCAGGGGAAGGCTTTTAGTCAAACAGAACTAAAATGTTTCTCTTCAGGCTACCCCAGAGTGAATTTACATGTCAGTGTAGCTCAGAGAGAAGAAAAGTTGTGTCCAGCTACCTTGGTCTGTTAGGTGCAGCCTCTGCTCTGGGGTTTACCTCTTATTGTAGGAAAGTCAGCACATTTCAAACTATGCTTACATAATTTTAAATACAATTTTCAGACCATAAAATATTAGAGGCTGCTACACTAACCAGCTCCTTTAACTGCTTTTGGCCTTATTCTTAAAATGGCCTGAAAGTTGGAATTCACAGTTCTACTCTGACAAAGCAAAATAGAGAACGAATTTTGGAAAACTCACACTCCCTGGAAAAAAACATTACCCTAACCTTATCTGCCACTGCCCCCTTCACTCCTCCGGGTGTGCTCAATCCGTATATTGGCGCACAGATTTCCTCCTCCTCTCTGACCTATGGAGAAAACCCCACCGCGACTCCTGGCTCTTACAAAATTTAAGCAGCCTCAGTAGGCATAAGAAGAATTAATTTTACACGGCAGGCGTGACAGGTCATTTCTGAAATCACGCACGCAGAGGGGGAAATAAAGAAGGCGAGGGGGGGGATGAATGGCAATGGGGGCAGGGGCTTCACCTCCGACCGGGTTTTCCC